CGTGTCGTTTATAGCTACTCAGTTCCGACAACTCTTCAGCTGTATACATGTAATATAAAATCAAGCGTTTAAAAATAAAATATTTCTTTCACATCGATAGACAAATAAAAAAGAAAACATTAAAATATTAATTGTTTATTACCTTGTTTAATATCTTCATCAATAAAATCATCCATGGCTGAGTCGCTCGCAAATGAAAGGCTCGCAAATGAAAGGTCGCGGCTCGCAAATTAAGGCTCGGGCTCGCAGGCTCGCACTTTAGCAACCCCCTAACGTCGACGCCTTTCCCTTGTAGATAGTTACTTAGACTCAGTGGCGTAGCCAGCCCGACAATTTGGTCCCGCTATGCAAATTCAAAATTATTATCATTATTAATTTCTTTAGAAATTGATTGTTTTCACAGTCAATGAACACAAAAATATTTGCATAGCGGGACTAAATCGTCGGGCTAGCTACGCTACTGCTTAGACTGCTTGTTTTTGATAAAATCACCACCTTCAGAAGAATCAAGCCAAATACGAATTCAAAATCACAAATGGCACTCAAAATGGCGACGCTGTCAATGTACGACTTAATAGTATCCTTATCCTTATCCTTTGCTAAAATGAGAAGAACTTTGAGCTTTGATAACTTTCGGCATTTCCTCGGTGACTGCTTTTACTGCTTCCCATGTCTGCAGGACCATTTCGTTTCACTCAAAGATTTTAGTGTGAGAACAAGGTGATCACCATCTATCTTAACAGAATTAAACACGGCATGGCATTTTGGACTTACCTCCAAGAAATTATACACATTTGTAATGTCCCTAGTGCATTTCGGAGCGTTTGCACATCACTCATAGTGTCTTGCAGTGCCAAGTTAAGGATATGCGCTATTGCTATTATTTAACTATCAAGTTACATAATCCTTTTTTGCCCGAATCTGAGTGAATCCCTTGCCCGAATGGCTTGATTCTCAAAATTTTTGGGGGGGCACTTGCCCCTCCCTGCCCCCCCGCCCCGTACGCCTATGGACACTTGTGAGTTGTGTGTCAACGCGTATTTCGACTTGTTACACTGTACTGTAAATATAATTTAGACATAGTTAGAAAATTGCCTAATTAGTAACCAGTTATTGACGTTATACAAGTCATTGTTTAGTTTCACTTCTATGTCCGCAGGTGAATTACCAATGCTTGATATATTTGTGTCATCTGCAAACATAGATGCCTCTGTTTGTTCGAGACAGTTAGGAAGATCGTTTATATACAATGAGAATAATAACGGTCCTAAGTTTGATCCCTGTGGGACTCCGCACCTTATCTTTTTCAGTTGGGAATTTATACCTTGGACTGCACATATAATTGACTCCTGTTGGTTAAGTACGATTTGAAGAAGTTAAGGGCTACACCTTGAACTCCATATAGTTCGAGTTTAGCAAGAAGGATTTTGTGGCTTGTGCTAAGTCTTGTTGGAATTCGTTTTCGTTAAAATGTTTAAACTGCCTTGTTTCTACTATTTTCGGCGTTTCTCTGGGTACTCATGTCCGTCCGCGTGTCCGTCCGCATGTCCGTCCGCATGTCCGTCCGCATGTCCGTCCGCGTGTCCGTCCGCGTGTCCGTCCGCGTGTCCGTCCGCGTGTCCGTCCGCGTGTCCGTCCGCATGCCCGTCCGCCCGTCCGCATCCGCGTTTTATCCCAACCCTGACGAAAGGTGATGTTTTTTGAGAAGCAGTGGATTTGTTAGCCTGTTGGTCGGTCAGTTGAAAGCTCGTTTAGCATTAGCCATTAAGGTCGACAGTGATGCCAACAAAGGGAAAAAGTAGTTCGCGTAAAAAAAATTCACTATATAGTGAAGGCCAAGACACGATTTCACAAAGCGGTGCGATTTTTTGTATTTTACTGACAGATAAGTTTGATCCTGCAAAGTTTAAATTTTTCTAATAATTAGGAGCGCTATTATATTTTGAGTTATCTCGTATCTTTTAAGATTTCTTTTCATAAGATGGCTGGGTTTAATATTCTATATTTAGTAAAACTTTCAAAAACTATCAAGTCAGGTGAGAACACAAAAACACCATATTGCATGTCGAACCAGAATGTTTCAGTCATCATATTTCAACTGTATCGTCATTCGTCAAGCTTTGGAACCACATCATTCACGCTATTCCTCCGAATAGTCTTTCAAGTTTATCGCTGTTTAAAAAGTTCATAAAGGACTTATTTAAATTGGAGTTGAACAGAACTTTCGATCTGTCGATGCTGTGCACGTGAATTCTTAAAGAATTCACGTTATTCTTATGCATGCTTGCTCTTGTGTTATAGGAAACCGCGAGTAAACTTTGATATGGAGCGTTCACTAAATAGAGGCGAGTGATGATATTTCGTGACATGTCATTGGCATTGTTTCTAATTGCCTTTTAAAATTGATTATTATTCTATTATTCATCCTTTGTTTCTGTTTGACTTTGAATGTTCTAGTTTTGATATTTATTTACAATATATATACTATTATCCCCGAGCCAACGGCGCGAACTAATTCCGGCTGGCTATTTAAAGGAACGCACTGGCGAAGTCTAAATGTATGGGTGGTCTACAATCACTTTCAGAAGTTGTTGGGACACATATAATTTAAGATTATAAGTGGATCATTACAGTATTTTACGCACAATACCGCTCCCCTCCCCCTCCCCCCACCCCAATCAATGTTACTCCAACCAAAACACATCAAACCTGAGGAGAAATGGGACACAACATTGAACAGGCGGCGGGGGGATTGACGTTTTGTTGAAATTCAAAGGTTTTGTGGCATCTGTCCCAAGACTTTTGAAACTGATTGTCTGAAAGGCAATGAAAGGCATATTTAACCTGTTTGAATTACCGGGTGTTTTCTATGGCGTCATATTTCCGCCAAAATTAAAGATCGTATTTGCAACATTATAGTTCGTATTCGCAACATTATAGTTTGTATTCGCAACTATAGTTCGTATTCGCAACATTATAGAAGTTCAAATATTAGTAATGTACGCAAATGATTATATTGTATTTCATTGATGAGAGTTTCAGAGCCCAAGATCTAGAAGAATGCGGTTAGTTATAAGTTTTCCTGAGCTCGCAAGACAGGTCGGTTTGCAATATTGTCGTATACCAAGACCAGAAAGTTCTTCCCGACATTATAGTTCATATTCGCAAGTTGAATTTTGGCGGATGAAGGTGTCAAATCTCCGCCAAAATTCAAGTTTGTAAATTAAAGTTCATATTTGGAAAAATTCGCTACAAGTGGAAACACTGAAAAGCAACAGTGCTTGGGGGTTTGGGTTCTCTCGTGAGGCCCGTTTCAGACGGCGTACTCTTCATGTGCGGAACTTAATTCGGATGAATTAGGTACGGCAGAAGAGCAGCGTATGAATCAATTAAGTACGGCAGAATTTGGAGCGGCAAAAGTTCGACACAAGTTCGGCAGAGCTTGTCGCATTATGCGACGTTGGAGCGACATTGATTCATACGCCGCTCCACTCATGTGCCAAACTTAACTCAACTTTAGTCTAAAAATAAACTTATTTGTTTTGAATTTTATTGAGGTTTCGCTGGCGAATGCGGCCCAACCTTGTCAATAACATTGTATTTGGTACGCCGTTTGAATCACTGCCGTTCTTGTGTCGCATCTAAGGGCTCGTTCAGACTGAGTGCCGGCACTGGTGCCCGATGTTCAAAATGGTTCACAAAACATGTTGAGTACAGTGCCGTTGTTGAGTACTACCTCTAGAGGTAGTGCCCGTTCTTGGGCACTGTGCCCAATTTCATTTGAAAGCGTCGTGTTCAAACTGGGAGCCAAAACAAGTGCCGGGCACCCAGTCTGGACGCAGCCTAATACAATTAATTTCGGCACATGAAGAGTACGCCGTCTGAAACGGGCCTCATTAAAATGAATCAAGACGATATAAATACGGCGAGGGTTGAGGGAATAGCTTTTGCAGGTGGCAGATTGCCTATACGTGTGATTTAGGCCCCAGTTAAGCCTGTTTTCCACTAGCGAATTTCTTCGCGCGTATAGTGAATTTTCTATTGTTTAAATAAAAAAGAATTGATTAAAAATCTAATTAGTTCCAGCCAAGAGCTCATAATACAAAAGATCCGCGCGAACAAATTCGCTAGTGGAAAACAGGCTTTACACGGTACCAGATGAATCCACCATGAATTCACCCACAGACCCCCACGTTTCGGCAAAAACACATATAAGCAGCCCTATTTTCGGAACAGACTATTGCGGAATTTTCGGGTAAGCGAAATTCTACATTTGCTCTATCTTTATGATATTGAGCACTAGCTCTTATATATATATACATCAAGAATAATACATAGGTGCGCGGAAATACGAGATTTATTTCGAGTGTTGAACATGATATCTCACGAGTGAGCACAGCGAACGAGTGAGATATCATGTTCAACACGAGAAATAAATATGGTATATTTCCAAGCACCCATGTATTTTTCTGTTTATTACATAAAGGACAGTCTTTGAAAAGCGATAATTTTTACAGAAAAGCGATAATTGAAAAGCGATAATTTTCACATGTGAGATTATCATGAATAATCTCTATAAAGCACTATATATATACTTTATATAATAAATATATATACGAGTAGGTTTGTGTATACGAAACGCAAAGAGTGCTCAATATCATAAAGATAGAGCAAATGTAGAATTTCGCTTACCCGAAAATTCCGCAATAGTCTGTTCCGAAAATAGGGCTGCTTATATGTGTTTTTGCCGAAACGTGGGGGTCTGTGGGTGAATTCATGGTGGATTCATCTGGTACCGTGTAAAGCCTGTTTTCCACTAGCGAATTTGTTCGCGCGAATCTTTTGTATTATGAGCTCTTGGCTGGAACTAATTACATTTTTAATCAATTCTTTTTAATTTAAACAATAGAAAACTCACTACGCGCAAAAAAATGCGCTAGTGGAAAACAGGCTTAACTGGGGCCTAAATCACACGTATAGGCAATCTGCCACCTGCAAAAGCGATTCCCTCAACCCTCGCCGTATTTATATCGTCTTGATTCATTTTAATAGGCAAACTGCCAAAAGATAACAGTATAAAATCGCAGCTGGATGAGAGAGCCCAAAGCCCCAAGCACTGTTGCTTTTCAGTGTTTCCACTTGTAGCGAATTTTTCCAAATATGAACTTTAATTTACAAACTTGAATTTTGGCGGAGATTTGACACCTTCATCCGCCAAAATTCAACTTGCGAATACGAACTATAATGTTGGGAATACGAACTATAATGTTGGAAATACGAACTATAATGTTGGGAATACGAACTATAATGTTGGGAATATGAACTATAATGTTGGGAATACGAACTATAATGTTGGGAATACGAACTATAATGTTGGGAATACGAACTATAATGTTGGGAATATGAACTATAATGTTGGGAATACGAACTATAATGTCGCGAATACGAACTATAATGTTGCGAATACGAACTATAATGTTGCGAATACGAACTATAATGTTGCGAATACGAACTATAATGTTGCGAATACGAACTATAATGTTGCGAATACGAACTATAGTTGCGAATACAAACTATAATGTTGCGAATACGAACTATAATATTGCGAATACGAACTATAATGTTGCAAATACGATCTTTAATTTTGGCGGAAATATGACGCCATAGAATTGCCATGTTCACGCTGCTCTTCTTTAAAAAATCTGCATATTTGCGGAGGTTTGTTGCTAGTCGAAGAATGGCATTGTACAAACATTTCCATGCATCGCTTTTCATAAATGAATTTGTAGCAAGCTCGAATAATGTCCCAGAATATGCAAGGAGTTCTGCTTGTTTAAGATTTTCTGCTGCAATCCTTTTTCTCTTTCTCTTTTCGGGTGTATTGTACCCTTGAAAATGAGCAAAAGAATCAGGTACGGCACATGAACGGGAACTAAGAGTTACATGGTTGCCATCGATGTACCACATCACGTCAGCAAGTGTGTTCAAAAACTTGTTTCCTAATTAAACAAGAGCAGAGAATTATATGTCAACCACACATTAAGTTATTTTTAATATTTACTGTTAATATACATACATTTATTAATATCACACGATTTTATTACTTCATACACCGTCTTTAGTTATTAAAATACACTGTATATGTTTTAACTGATAACGTATAAATAAAAGCTTTACAACATAAATAATAACATTATTTAATACCTAGTGTTTTGACATATTGAAGAGACCACCCAACACCATTTTTCTTCAACCAGGAAATTATATCATTTTTTAACTTATCCTTCTGGTTGTGAACGACTACATTGCTTGGAACACAAGTTAATGTACGGGCAGCAGCAGTAAGAATGTGGAAGGCATTGGTACACTGAAGAGGCTCGGTACGATTTATATTTGCATCATGTGTAAACTCAATGAAGTTGCCAAGAGTTCCAACCACCTATTTTTTAATAATCAATAAAAATACAGATTCTTTATATGTTATAAACCGTACACAGGTACACTCGTTATTAATATGATCACAGATCTAGAACTGCAGAAACAAAATATTTAAAATATACAACACAATGAATCTACCTCTGCCACTGTGCACTGGCTGTCTACTCGGGTTAGGTCTTTCTTGCTCTTTCCAACATGGACATGAACATTGTTTAGTTGAACTGCA